ACCTGTCACATTAACAAGATGCCCACGCGGAGCCCCATCATCTTCTGCCCTGCAACTTGGGGGACACGCATTCGGCTCAAACCGGGTTGCCAAAATAAAAGTTCACTTGGCAGAGGCTACAGAGTGACGCAGCTCGGGCACGACTAACGACGCCGACGCTAACGGCGACGCTCAGCTGAGCGAAGGCGTAGGCAGAGAGCCGGGCAGCGAGCACCCAAAGGCCGTCGAGACGGGGCGGCTCATTCGTTGCGCGCTCGTTGAATCGCCGAGACGTCGTTGGAGTCGCCGTTGTCGTCGCGTGTGTGTGCACAGCAAACAACAAAGTGAATTAATAAATATATTTCTTTAAAGAAACAAAAACAAAACCTGATTTCTTCTGCTTAAAAAAAAATTGCATTAATAACAAAAATTTCAAAATTAAAAAACCATAAAACTCTCTGAAGTAGAAACTTTCCTCCCAGCGGTTTATTCGAAGCGGGAAGAGCAAAGTTCCGCCCCGAGGTTGATCCCACTTTTCCGTTCTACCTGTGTGTGTGCGAGTGTCGCGTCTGTGTGGGTGTTTGTAATGTGATATATGCTATCGAGAGTGTTTTAATCCATCTCCCTGAGGTGCTGCATTGACCGGACATTGAAGAATTTCAATTACTTAGAGAACCACTTGGAAACGCTCTCTCAAAGGAATACTCGAGCGGCTCAAGGTACGTTTCGATTGGAATTTGTTGATAAGTTAAATAGCTGTATTAATAGCCAATTATTTAGTCACCATTGTAGCCATGAATTGTTCATTAGCAGTTTGTGCTGTATCGATAAGGTAAACAATACATACAGAGAGAACAAACAACTATTAAAAAAAACTCTAGCTATAGGAAAGTAAACACCCAGCAAAGTGGTTCTCAAGTTGAGATCGTATTATTTTTAAGTGCTATAAACAGCACGTAGTACAGAGTAGGCCATCTAATGATGAAAAAGTTGTCGTAGTTGAATGAAATATTGGATGGGTTCTAAAAAGACACCACATTTCTGTGTGGCTTCTGTTTATTCCTCTATGTTCTGAAAGATACGCACAAGTTTGTATTTATTTCACTCAGTTTTTCATTCACTATTTATTCTCCATAAATATTCCCATACATAAGAGATAAGAGTATGTTTATCATTGGTTGCTCTTTCTCAAGACTTATCTGAACCTTGCATTTAAGAAGAGTACAAATATAGCTCAGTTATTGAAAACGAAATAACAAATTAATGCGCAAAATACAGATATTTATTCAGCACTTATGTATATGGTGGATCCCAATACCTATCCCTTTCCCTATCCAACTTCGTATTATGTTTGCATCTTGATAGTCTCGGACAGAGCCCAGCGTAGAGATAAGGTTTTGCGGGTCTCTCGTTTGATTCTGGCCTACCATGCACTATGTATTTTTATCTATCCGATAAGATATGGCCAGGAACACACACACATACACACATACAGCATAAATATATGCGCATTATATGGCAAGTCTTGCTCTAGTTTTTTCTACTTTTAGTGGATTCTCGTTTGGTCAAAGTTTTGCATGCAAGGCGCCAATCAAATGGTTCGTAGATAAAAGGAGTTGGGAACACACACAAAAACACACACACATTGTAACCTAACTGGCTCCACATATGGGTGGCAGGGTGGCTGTTCCATGGCAACCTCTGCCCCTTTGCCGGTCACAACAAGTCCACTCAAAGTTGTTTGCCGCACAACAACAAGAGCAACAACAACCCGGGGCAACCCCACAGTCGGCAGTCGGCTGTCCCCATGCCCAAAGGACATTACTGGGCAGCTGGGTGCGGCATTAATGTCTGGTCTGGCGTCATTATACCATTTATAGTCATGTTTTCCGAGAACTTTTGCTGCTACTCGTACACCCTTCAGTGTGTTTAATCGATAAACCCGTGGATAGGAAACTCCTTTCGTTCCGGAATTTCGCCATTTCATTGCCGGCTCTTGGCCGGTCGCCATTTGTGTGCTAATTGCAGATCGAGGCTAAGTAACTGATTTGCTTATGGCTGCAAAGGTTAGGGGGAGGTTAGTGTGTGTGGGTGTTCACTGTACACAAGCCAAATGTGGCTCGGACTCGTTAACTTTGACGTTAATTAGCTTTTGGAATTTCTCAAAGCGACGCAGTTAAAATTGGAATGTGGTTAGCCCTGTCAGAGGCAAAAAGTTGCGAGTTTTCCCCATACTGAAACTTCCAATGATGATCAGAATACAGAAATACAAAGAGGAAATATGGAAACTCCATCCTTTAATTAGTTTCAACGCCTAAATAAGTAATTTAAAATTGGATTTTTACTCATTTATTTTCGGGTTGCAATTGTCTGGCTGTTCCAGCAATAAATACCAACCAAGCAATCGTCCGCTTTTCTTTGACTTGAGTTTCCTCAACAAACAACTAAAAAAAAACGCAACATATTTCACAGTTGGTAAATATTTTCCATGCATATTTGCAACGCTCCAAAAAGCCCAATAAGCGGCAATCACAAGAGGCAGCCGGCAAATGCTTTTCTATTGCTTTTCAGCAAAGAGATTTGCATAAGGCTACAAACACTACTATTTGGGGGATACATATACATATACACATATGTATGTGCATAGGTAGAGCTGCAATTAACATCAAACACGGGCCGGGCTATGTACAGTCAAATACTTATTGACAGCGTCGCGTCCGTTCTCTCATTTGAAATTGAGATCCGGGCGAACGGAACAGAAACACGCCTCTAAAAGTGTTTTTAGTTTCGTTTCAAGATTCTGGTGTAACCTTCGCACGACTCGAGACTGGAGACTCGACTGGAGAGTCGACTCTGACGTGCTGACGAGTTCTAAGCAAACCCTCCCCCCTGCGACGGGACGGTGCTCAGATGATTACCCAATGACATCAGCACAGGGGGAACAAAGCTGCGTCTCCAAAGTGTGACTTCAACCTGTTCGGGTCTGGCTATGGGCCTGGCTGCTCTTTATGGCTTTCTTCTTCAACGGGTCCAGCGAGAGTCTGTTGCCACAATTAGCCCCCCCTTGATGATGATCTTACAGGTGGGAACTGCGGTTAATCGTTTCGGTATCATGTTCGCGATAATTGTGCGGTTTGTGGGTGAGGAAAATCGGCTGACAAAGTGCTCGACAATGCAATGGAAAACAACTTTAATTGATGCGATTGAAAGTCAATGTTCACATTGATTGGTTAACTCAATTAGCATTTGTTTTCCTAATGCTCATGCTATGCAAATACGGGAACAAGTGGAAGTGGAATATTTACAAAGTCTCCTAAGTAAATTCCAGTCGATTCCATTTCTTATCAGCAAAAACAAAACAGATTAAAAAAACCCTTAAATGTACACATGATATATTTCGGTTACCCTATCGCCTGGGCTACTTATCTGCTTATCCATGAAATTAGATCTTGTAAGCCGACACCTCGTTGCTCTGGAGAGCACTCCACTCCACGTGACCTTCGCCTGCAGCAAGAGCGACAAGCGACAAGACAATGTCCACCACTTCACTGCATCTATTTTCCCTCTCGCTGGCATCTGAGTACGAGTACTGGGCCAAACCGAAAGTGATGCGGAATGCCCATGCCCATGTGTGGCATGTGCAACGGCTGCACTCTGAAGGTGAGCTTGTCCAATTGGAACGAGTCGCACTTGTTGTGCCCGAGACTGGGAGGCAGACAGCTGTCACAAGCACAAGCTCTTGGGGGACCACAGACCAGCTCCAAGTGGGCTTTTGTTTACAACGCCTCTGGGGCAATGGTTCAATGCTCTGTGTGGCAAAAAGTGGGCACAACATTTGTGCCACATTTCAATTCCATGTTCCCATGTTCTCCCCAGCCTGTGACATCTCTGAGCAGTCAAGTCGAGCTTTGAAGCTTGAACGAAACATTGGAACGTGGGAGCATATCTCGGGGGTATTTAATTCGAGTTTCGGTTTGAAGAAATATCAAGATGCGGTTCGTCAGCGTCTCGGTATGCCTCGAGTGGGTGGTGATGATCATGACGATGATGTTGCTCCAAGAAAACGATTCACAAATAAATAAATTAGCTAAATATGGAAACCAGTTTGAAGTGGAAGATGACCTTTCGGGATTGTAATAAAGTTATTTCATCTTATGCACAATCAGGAAACTCAGAACTGCCAGGGTAGGGGACCATTCAGAGCACGTCCTCAAACAGCAGCCCTATCCCAATATGGGGGCCTCACATTTATGACTGTTCCCCCAAACCACTTCGTATGCAGTACAGAATAAGTAGATATTTGGACTGAATGTGTGAGGGTGCGGCAGTCTAGGAAAAACCTTTCAACTCAACACGAATTATGCTCAATAATCTTGCATAAATTTGGGTCTTATCTGTGCATAGACCCCAAAGGAAACCAGTCAATTGGTGGAGTGAAGTGGAGCACAGCAGAGCGCGGCATAAATTAACTCTGGATGGGGAACATGTGAAAATCGAAACGGGTTTATATCGCTTCAAGTGAACACAAAACACAATTTACATTACACAACAACAAAAACTTGTTCTATACAATAAATATATGGCGTCTGGTTTCTGTACAACGCTAAATAGATTTATCTATCGATGTCGTTGTATCCGAACATAGATATTGACAGGCGTGTTATTAGATATTAGCCTATCCATAGATACATATTCGTATCTGTTTGGTGACATCTTTGTTGGCTTAGAACATTTTCCACTTGGTCAAGTGTGGGCAGATCATTATAGACGTTCCGGCCTTCAACTCGAGCTAATAATGGGCTTGGCCCTGACCTTTCCTATACAGATTTTCATCACAGCAATTAGTTTCAATTCATTGAACACTGTGCCACGGCTCAGAGGCTGACCAAAAAAAGTATAATTAGAAGAAACAACACCCGCTCACCCAGAGCAACAAGATAACTCTCTCAAGTAGTGAGAGCCGCAGCAGATAAAGATACAATATATACAGTATAGAGAGAGGGTAATACTCACTCTCGCACACACACATAAGAGATCTTCAATTGCTTTTAATGCTGATTGTTGAGTTCACTTTCAATTTGCAATTAAGAGAAAATTCTCGCAGATTCGTTCTGAGTTGCGGCTCAGTCTCGTTCCAGCAGCCAGAGTCAAGGCGAAGTTTAGCGGCTGAAACGAATAGAAAACGGTAATTAATTGGCCTATTAGGGAAATGTGTCTAAAACCACAAAAAAAACACCAATTTAATCATCCTCGGCAGCTCCTCCCGCTTGAGCCTTGTCGTTTGGGGCAGCACCACCCCAAAAGCTGGAAAAACCTATGAAATCGGTGTCTAAGTTTAGACGATTTCATCATATTCTGCTTTGCGTATACACGTACAAGCTGACGCTGGCTGTTGTTGTTGGCTTTTGCAAATTAGCTAATATGCGCTTAGCCCCATTGGTGAATGTTTATTTGGCTCTTCGGGCTTCGTGGCTGCTGAAATGTTTAGCTAACTATAAAACAAGAGAGAAGAAAGGGTAGCTTGAGGCCTTGGATATGATATCATACATCAGCATACTCTCTCAGAAAGAGTAGACAGAAAATATCTCTGCACTGACAGCTCGATTAAAATTCATATCTCACGCTCTGACCTTTTACAGATCCAAACGACAACGAACCCAGCGGGAGAAGGAGAAGCAGAAGGTGTAGGCAACTGTGGAGGAGGGAACGGAACGAAACGTAACGTAACGAAACGGGACACAAACCCGACTCCAATTGCAAGTCGGCGGCGGCAATCTCAGACCTCAAATTATATGCCAGCCGCAGCATTTCCATAAGATTTTGGTGGAAACTGGCTGTGAACAAAGCGAATTTCAAATGTGAACCAATCACCATACAACAACAGCAACAAAAATACAGCAAAAATAACCAAAAATAGCGTGCAGGCAAAAAAAATACTTAAGTTTTATTGTGAAAAGAAAACAAGGCAACAAAAGTATTTCCAAATTTTTTGAAAGTGCAGTGAAAACGAAAGATGATTAATTGGCAATGAGGCAAAATCGTTAATGAATATAAATTAAAACACCGAAATAAAAAGATACTCAACAGAAAACGCGATAAAAACAGTTTGCATGTTTGGAGCAAAAGAGAGCTTGGTGCGTTTTTAAAACGCCGGCGACTAAAGACGCGCTCGCGTTTTTTACTTACAACAAACAGCGGAAGAGAGCTAGCATTTACAGCAACAACAAGAAGTTAAAAGCGAGTTCATTGCATACATTTCGCAAGTGTGTGCCAGTGTGTGTATGTGTGTGTGTGTTCAGGTGTCTAGTCCATGTGAAAATGGCCGCTTCGGAGCAGAGCAGCAGGCGGCAGCTGGAGGCGATATTTATCGCTACGCCCCCGCAAACCCCCCTGATGCAACACAATTCGGTGACGCGGACAACAACACCTCGCGAACTCCCCACAATGTATCACTTTGATTTTGGTAAGCAACAAAAAACACCAACAACAAAAGCTAGCTTACATATAACTGTACTTGGGTGGGTACACTCAAATCGTGTGAGCGCTAGAGAGCGCTCTCTTCGTTGCATTTACGTTCCAGGTGCGAGCAATTGAGAGGGAGAGGGAGAGCGAGAGAGAGTTAAGGAGTAATGAGAATGCTTTACCGTATATTAACACCTCCTCGTGCAGGCCCCTTAAAGCTTAAGTGCTTGTCGAACTTTACAATTTTCGAATTTCCATTTTTGAAAACAAAGCCAAGGCGGCAAAAATTCAAATTCAGTTAACTTCCGCGCAGGCGAATTAAACGCTGCTGCCCCCTGCGGCAGCTCTTCGCTGTTGAAGGAAGTGCTTGGGGAAGCCACTTAAGGGGAAGTGAAGTGGGAGCAGAGTGTTAGGGAGAAGTGAAAAACAATGAATTTGTTTTACGGCACTTTAACTTTAATAATAAAAAAAACATAAAATGAAATTTTATTAGAATAGGAATATAAATGTACAACATAAATTCAAATTTTATATCAAGAGGATAAAGGAAACATAAAAAAACCAAATGAATATGAGTTTTGTACATAAAAAATGTACATGCATAAACAATAAACTCGTAATTATTCACGCTTTCCGCTATGATCCAATATAATACTGAACAAACTTTCTAACGTTTAAAATCTTCAGATGACATCAGTTATTATTGCAAATTATTTGTTGATTGCAAAAAAAAAGAGAAGCAACAATGAAGACAAGACAGACAAAAAAGCTCCAAAGCAAATCAAACACAAAAACGTGGAAGGCATTTAAACAAACTGCAAACGAATACAAATATAAATACAACTCAACAAAAAACATAAAAAAAGGAGGCAAGCAACGCACAAGAGGCACGACAACACCGACATATCTATGTCAATTTCCATTTTCAGTTAGCTGCAGCAAAGTCAACTAAAATCAATCAATTAAAATAAATCAATTTTAATTAAATTTAAGAAAAGCCCAAAACAAGAACTTCGACTAAAGTTTGTGCAAAAATGTAGTCAGCGATGAGACAAAGACAAATTAAAATGAAATTCAAGTTGCAAGTGAAACCAAAAATTATGAAAAAAGTAATAAAACTGGGCTCGACTTGAATCCCAACCCATATATTCAAATTGCAGATAAATATAAATATATATCTGTACTCGCAGCTTGACAGAAATCGGGCGCTACGCTTTAGCCATGTCAGTCACGTCGGACCGGGAGATTTCCGTGCCAGTTTTTACAAGTTTCCGATAATGCTAATAAATAATAAATACTCTACGCGTATGCCATTGTCACTCTGCCAGCTGCCTGGTTGGCTGGCTAACTGATTTCGATTGTAATGGCCTGGCCCATCTGCATATATGGCCTAAATGGTCTCCAGCGGGGAGGCATATGACCCACTGCCCTCGGCTTAATGTGCGAGCAGCCCACACTTGAGTTTCCTCTCTTACTGCCTCTCTGTCTGCCATGGAATTTCCTTGACATTGAACCACATTTAGAGGCAATGCAAAAAAGCTTCAATAAACTTATTTTTGCGTATTTTATAGAATGAATTCCAAAGTCAAATATCTAACCAGTTTGTGCAAAACGCAATTTATAGTATACAAAGTATGTATGGTATAGAGGCATACCATTGTCTGGCTCGGAACCAGTTTTCAATACATTTACCCTACCAGCCCAAGTCGCAAAGTCACGCTGCTCTTTGGGATGAGTTCTTCGATCAGCAAAATTTGTCATTGACTGATAGCCGTTTCCTAATTGTATGTACAATATGTTCAATTAAGGTACGAATTTACGATAAAATGCGCGAATTTATTTGCCTTTTGGCGAGCTTACGGCTGAAAGCTAGCAGAAACAAAGCTTTTGTTCGAGCTTTGAAGCTTGCTGCAAGTTTGCTGCTATCTTTTCGGATGAAAAAAGCTACGAAAACGTTATATTTGTATTCTTTGTTTAAACAACAAATAAATACAATTATTGAAAATAACCATAACTTATTTATACCCATTGGTTGATTTGTTTGCGCCCAAGAAATATGTTTAAATGAATTTCAATCTCCGTTCAATGATCTAATTCAATTTCGCTCCACATTCAATTCGTTGTGGGCCACTCACAAATCGATTCGCTAATCGTTTGGCTTCACCTCTGACCCCAAATCGAGCCTCGAAACCTACTCCGCATCCAATTGGAATTTACCTACCTCAATTAACGACACCATTCTCCTCGCACTTTGGCCACCACGAGAAATGCCAAATGAAAGACAAAATGGAATTGGAGCCAACTAGAAAAGTGTTTCACACTTTCTAAAAAGCAATCAACAGTCGAAACAGCAGCAACACTGGCAACAGCAAACAACAAACAAAAATCAACTTCAATTTGTTGCAGCAACAACATCCATCTCATTGAGTTCCAAACAGAACCGAAGACAGAAATGAAAAACAAAAACAGAAAAACGAAAAACCAAAATTGTGCAATCTGCAAAATGCGTTCGAAGGAAACAAACAACAAAATCAACAAAAAACAGAATTCTGTTACAGGGGAGCGCCAATGACCTGAAATGATTTCATTACAGCAGAGGGGAGCGCTGGCGAGGGAGCGTTGAATGCTAGTGGAGTGGAGTGGAGTGTGGAGACGACAGGCGACTGGAAGAAATAGAACTTAATTAGTGGAAAATACGACGCACCGATGTTGTTGATATGTGAGAGAGACAGCGAGCTATAGAGAGGGGCCATCTAAATGCCATTCGGAACTCTGCTTCGAATCTGATACACTAACGTAATATATTTACTAGCAATATATTCCGTCATTAGGAAGGAAGTTCTCTAAAAGGAATGTGAGAAGTGGGAACATTTAGAGTTCACCTGAGGTTACCATGTTATAAAGCTTTCCATGAGTGAGTTTTGGGGGGATTATTCATTTAATAATAAACTTAGAAAAATAATTGCTAGTTTCCATTAGAGGACTTTCTACCACTTTTCTCTACAATATTTTTTTTTTCAGTGCATAGGAAATATTAAATTAAGTTCACTTTGTTTTTACTTTTGCCTTGTTTTTGTGCCTTGTGTCATGTCGCCGCCTTGCCCCCAAAACGCCATCCCATACAACACATCATCTAGATTCGAGAACTTTGACTATTTATACGCACGCGCCCCTTTTTTCTTTTTTGCTCCTCCCGAGGGCTGTGTCATGAAAAGCGTGAAAATCGCTAAAGCGAGATAGATGCATCGTGCAACATATACAACATATGCATACATATATGTATGCAACTGCAACATATCTTCTATTTTCGGCTGTGCTCTCAGAGCGTGACAATTATAGGAGATTATCAGGATGTTGAGGGCAAGTCAGAGTCGAGACGCGTGGGCGACCACAAACGATGCCGCCCACAACCCCAGGGCGCCTCTCGCTGCTACTCACCCGCGTCCCCTTCCCAACAGGGGAGCAGGAGAAGTTGTTGGTTCGATAAAATAGATATAAATAAATAAGCGAGTATGTCCCGGCCCCAAGTTCATTACTCCCTCCTCCATGACTCTTGCTTTTGGCACGTGCAATATTCGTTGTTTTTCTGTTGTTTTTACTGTTTCGTGGATTCCCTTGCATTCAAGGCATCTTGCTTGCATAAGAGAGATCGATGGATGGATGGGTGACG